TGAAGGGCGAGGTAGGGACCAAGGGCTGTGGGGCACGCCTAAGCCAAAGGCTCAGCCTTTTAACTCCCTATCGCTCCCTGGCAAAGTGGTTTCTATTTGTTTTAACACTTTCATCTTTTATCCGCTGTATTTTATCTGCTACTTTAAATCTTAGTAAGTGAATAGGTTCTTAGTAAAATCATTAAGTTCCATTCAACTCATCTAAACACAACCCATTAGCTTTATTTGTTGCCTGGTTGCCTTATCTGCGTCGATGTTATCTGGCTGTTCCTGTTGTAAAACAAAAAGTTAGAGAGAGGAAGAAACCCTCTTGCCGAAAGCAGAGCTTCCTTTTGTTCTTACCTTGATAGAAAGGGATCCTTCTAGAAAGCCAGGTGAGATGAGAACTCACCCGAAATTCTCCTCGCCCCAAACCAAGCTGTAAGAAGAACCACAGGGGGATATTCAGGCTGGCAGCAGTGCTGTGACACGGAGCACTGCAGCAAGGCAGGACCTGTCTGTAGGAGTGGGTTTGAGCCCCACGTGGCAGCAATGCTGCACACCCGCAGCTCACAGCTGCTCCCGGTATCCTCCTCGCATCCTCGGATGTACTCAAGAAGCAGCGTTCAAGTTTTAATTCGTGTTTGATCGTTGGTTTTAAGACCGTTGATAAAAGAGATGAGGACGGTAGTCAGACTGTAAAGCATGCAGCAGCCTCATGGTAAGCTGCCCAGTGCCGGGTCAGGCTTGTAACAGGCTCAACACAGCAGTCCAACAGAGGTGCAGCACAGAGGTGCTGCCCGGTCCCCTCCTGAATACTTACAGGAGAAAACACACGCAGAGAGCTGGAGTTCAGAGGAACTTGCGTTGGAAGCAAGTCAGCAGAATAGGGATTTTCTGCTCTTGCTTGTCTGGAAGAAGTCTGATACACAGCGGCTCAGCCTTCACTGAGGTGGAAGAGAGTAGTGATCATTCAGCTGCTGGGGAATGGCTTATTGCTGCAGGCTGAAATCAAACTAGGGAACTGGGCTACCTTCAAAGAGCACAGCTGAAAGACTTCAGCACAGAGCAAAGGCTCCATGATCCCAAGTCCAGCTCAGAGACTTGCTGTACAGCAGGGAGCAGCAGCAGGAGCAGCACATCCTCTCTGCAGGACAGCTCAAGCTCACTGTGGGAGCACCAGAAATGAGCCCTGCCCATGCAGGAGCTTGGCAGGAGTGAAACTGCTTCAGCACTGAGCTCAGGGCACTGAGTCAGCTCTCCTAAGCTCTCCCCTCACCTGTTTTTCCTGCTCCTTACATCACGGATTTGCACCTGCTGCTGAGCCTACAGGAATGTGAAAAAGCTAATCTTCACTTGCTGCTCTATTCATTGACAAATAGAAGACAGAAATAAGAAGTCTTAAATAAGACGATGTCTGCTTTGCAGCTCACTAAAATAGTCTCAGTCAATGAACCGCTTTAGCAGTTTAATCAACTTAGATGAGAGCAACAGCACAGAACAGCAGGATTTAACTAGAAGCAAAGCATGCGTAATAGGAATAAATAAGAGAAAAACCTGGAATTACACAGAGGTTTTAGTTTCTTTGCTGCCACTTGGCATTGAGAGCTCCAAGCTCTAGCCCAGCCAAGAGCTCTGCCAGGTGTAATGAGCACTAATAGCACTGTAAGCTATTTAGCCAGATACCAGCTGTTTATCACAGCCAGGACTATGAACTCTTCAATAGTTCTTTCTAGAGAGTATTTCTGAGGGTTATTTGGAGGCTGCACCAGAAGGCACCAAATTCCTTAAAAAGCAAAGAGTTCCTGGAGGGTCTGTGGGAGAGCAGCAGAACCAAGCAGAGCCCTGGTGCAGCTCATCACAGGGACGTGAGTGCACTCAGAGCTCTGTACAACAAGCTATGACATAAAGTAATATCATACCTAAATATCTACTAAACGCTAAAGCAAAGCTCTCACCTGCCACTTCTTCCTAACACCTCATTCATTAAATCCACACCATAGAACTCATCTTTCCCAGCAAACCCAAACAACCCCTGTCCTTTACCACTTCAGGCCTTATGTGGTCCCTTAGCTTGCTGTGGCAGACTCAGGTATATCCTGAGCAATTTGCTGTGTCAATAGAAAGAAGAGCTCAAGAACCACATTCTGACGCTGCTTTTAGCTGGGAAAGAAAAGCAGAGAAGGGAAGGAAGCTGTAAGGAATATCTGTGCTGTTTTCAGCTCATAGGAAAAAGAGGATTAGGTTCTGTTGGAGTTCAGCTACTTCTGTGCTTGAGTTAACAGAATTTTTTGTCAAGCCCATGAGTGTGAGGATTCTTTCCTGCCTTATGCTTGCAGAAGTTAGTACCAAAAGCAAACCATAGAGTAATTGCATAGCTGAGCAAGGGCTCTGCAGAAATCCTACAAGCATGATGCTTCTTTTGGTGCAGTCATGTAACAAAGGGTAAAGAATGAGTCTGTTTAGAAGTCACCAGGTAAACTTGACACTCAATAGGGCAGATATAGCCCCAGAAGTTATTGAGCTGCATTGCAGGTTTTCCTCTGTGTGGGTTTGGAACATTGGGAATTGCAGCTGGAGCTTCTGTCTGTGGGGTTTTTAGTAGGAATTACTTTCTTTGGCTTTTTTTGGAGTTTCATTAGACTAAAATGCTGAAACTTCAATCTCTAGAAGAGGAAGGTTAAAGAGACACTGAGCAGCAATCTGGTTTGTTCCTCTGTCCTGAGGCAGAGCTGTTCTTATCATTCCCAGCAGATCCCGGGATGCAGCACTTGTCTTCCCTGCAGCAGCTGCCACCTGCAGACTTTGCGTCTCCTTGACGGGTTTATTCCTAATGCTGACCATAAATCTTGTTCCATCCCCAGGTCGTTTGCTTGCTCTCTCCATTCATCACCTTCTCAGTAGAGGAAGAGATGCTGACCCAGCTTGCTCCTCCATGTGAGGTACTGCTCCGGGGCTCTGATGCTGAGGACATGAAGGAGAGGCTGATGTTACATGAATTTATCTCCTCGCTGTTACCAAGGTCTGGGCCAGGAAGTGCAAAGGACCACTTTGAGGTCACAAAACAAAACAAAAAGGCATGTTGTCTTTGTCTGTTTTCATCTTCCCATACCAGGAAAAGGAGATTTCTGGGAGTAGCTGATCTGGCCCGTTATCTGCTGCTGCAGAAAGCTCTGCCCTTACAACTTCTTGTCCAGGCTTTCCACAGGTCCCTCTGCTGAAGCCATGGCGGCTTCATTTTCCATAAGATCTCTGGGGGGATGAGAACTGGAGCTTTGAGTGAAACATACCTGAATTTAATGATGGAGGCTGAGGCAGTTTTGTCATTTCTCATTTCATGTAAAAACCAAACGAACAGAAGGTCTGACCAATTCCTGATGTTTATTTCCAAGGGTGAAATTTAAGGAAAATTAAAGATCAAACAGAAATTGCCCTATTTCCTTATCGTTTTGTTTTGAACACTTAACTCTTTTTTTTCCCCCTCTTCAAATGAGAACAGGAAAAGCTTTTTTGTCAAATTGTTGTGGATTGTTGGAAGGATTTAAATTCCATTCCTACAAAGAGGCTCTGGCAGGCTGCCTGTATGCTGATGAGCAGTTCTAAAATATTTGTGCTTTGGATTTGGCTCATTAAGCTGCTCTAAACGGGTATGCTTTTCCCAGCCCTTGAAGTTGAAAAATGGAGGGATGTATTCTGAATGTGGCACAGGGATGTTTTTCTACATCTCTCTTTTTCAGGTATTTCCTTTTCTTTCTTCTTTTTTTTCCCCTCCAAAGATCTTGGCAGGCTGAGACTACAAGTTCAGCGATAATAAGAATGAGTAATTTGAATAATGTGTGCAAACCAATAACCTTTTTCATTATTTGCAAGGCTATTCTGCACCAGCAACCAACGTGGCTTTAATGACTTGCCTGCTTATGGCGCTGGCGTATCAGTCAAGGGCATTTTGAATGTGTCCTATCAGAGCTTCTCTGAGTGTTATGGAGAGGCACATGTACAGAGATACTGATATATGGATTTTTTTGCTTCCTTCCTGGTAGAAAACAACTTTTCCCCAATCAGTGTGCATTGAACGTAAGCATGCTCCAGGGATGTTTCTCCCAGTGCTGGATTAGGTGCTGTCAATAACTCCAGTTGGTTGTGACATTTTAAGGCTGGATCATTTTTTTTTTTTTTCTTTTTAATTAAAGTCAGCACAGCAAACAGTGGATGGGGTGCACTGGAGGTGCACAGAGCCACTCGATGTGCAGGGAATGTTAGACAGCCCTGTTGGGTAGTTTCTGCAGCTGCAAAGTCGAGGAGGGGAGTGGTGCAGGAGGAGGGACAAAGGGGGAAAGGTGGCAATGATTGGGGGGAAAGGCAAATGCCTTCACTGAGTGCAGTAGGAAGGTTTCTGCTGGCAGGTGTTTGCTCAGGGCTGGCACCTCTCTGTCAGTGCTCTCAGCACTAAATGGCGTGCTGCAAACAAGCAATGCAACCATTAGGGCTTTTACCATCACCCTAATGGAAGCTGCTGATTAGGAAGCTTTTTTGGAAGGAGTAGGGGGAGGAAAAAAAGACAAGAGAGGCTGTCTGTGGCAGCTGTGATGCCTGACAAGAGGGCATGGGGGGTCTGCATGAGACACCCTTGGGAGAGATTTTAAAGCCCTGCAACTTTCCCACTTTTCCTGCTAAGGGTTGAGCAGGCTGTGCTGGAAGTGGGAGCAGATGTGATCTTTCAAGGCTGACAAACCATTTTTCATCGCGCATTTACTTGCAGATATGCTACTTAAAAATTTCTGTCTTTGCTAAAACTGAAAAAATTGGTATTCATTTAACTTCTGCATCCTGATACTCAGCTGGGAGCACCTTCTGACCAGCCAAGGAGAATTGGTTTCAGTCTAGTTTCTGGAATCCTTTGGTGCTTAAGTGAAAGTGCAGAACTGGACGTTCAGTTGGTGCTTTTAGCCCTGTGCTGTGAAAAGCGTATGGAAATAAACAAAACCAGTGCACTCAAAGCAATCTGTTTATTTCAGCCACTTTTCTGAACAGGTGTGGGTAGGTGAGGCACAGCAGTGAAGCAATTTGTCTTCATATATCCTAAATACAAACGACTCAAGGTGCAAACAGGAGGGGGTGGGCATGGAGGAACCAGAGGAAAATGAGGTTTCTTGCTGCTGCATGCACCTCTCTATTTTGATGTGAGACCAAATTCCCTGTAATATCACTGCTGGCAGTGAAGCACCTTTCTTCCTCCTGCTTTTCTCTTCCAGTTACCAGAGGTGAGAGTGCTGGAAGACAGTAATTAATGCTATACTCATGTCTTGAAGACTCCAGCTTGGCAGTGAGCACTCACAAATAGGATCCTAGGCAGTGCCCACTGTTTTCCTTAGAAATGGAAATGCTCATGGTACCCTGGTGTTATGCAAAAAGTTTTGCTAGCAATACAGCAGTCTAGAAAAGTTGTGGCATCTGGCTGCAGCTGTACTTAAAACTATGCTTTTGGGAAAGTTTTCTGGGTCAATATGCTGCTATTTATGTAATTCTAGCATTTTGCTCTCAGAATGTATTACTGTATGAAATGGAACAGAAATGTAACTCAAGGTAATTGTATTGTGCAAAATACTAACACGGTGTGTTCTTGCCCACCTGAGTGGAGCAGGCCTGGTGTGGGTGCTGGCAGAAAGGGGGCTTTGTTAGCAATACTGTGCACTGTTAAGCATGATAGATATGTTCCTTAATTAGCACCTGGACAACAGGTATTTGATGACCCATCAAAACATCTTTTTGGGCTAGTCAGTCCAAATGCCTTCCAGTTTATACAATCCTGTCTTTTCTAAGGAAAAGCAGAGATTAATTTTGTTGTTACCAACTTGGAGACTCTTCAGGGATGTTCTTGGCGATCCGTATGGGGCTGCAGAACTGGGACATTCTGTGCTTTGTTTCCAATGCAGGCTAAGGGTTAAAGCCTTTACTGGTCATAGCTTGGAGCACCTTGAAGCCCCATCACCTCCATTCACAGGTGTTCCTGGCATGGACACAAAGCCACCAGGAGGCTGCCTCCTGCAGTCCTTCCAAGCAGAGCTGGATGTGCATTTCTAAAAGGGAAGACACTAATGAATGCATAAGAGAAACCCCTACCAAAAGCTCTGAAGCTTTTGAAGCCTGAAGCTGAGGAATAACTACTCTACAGCTGGCTTGATTAAATGGCCATTGAAGATGATGTAAACATCAGACTCCTCACTATAGATGGCGTTTTCTCTCTCCCGCTTGAACATCCTCACCCAGACCTCGTCTCCCTCCTGCAGGTCCAGCATCAGGCTCTGGCTCTGCATGATGCTCCGGTCGCTGGGCTGGGCATAGAGGATCACCATCTCCTCCTCGTTCTTCATCAGGTGCAGATAGGTCTCCTTGAAGTTCCAAGTGTGGACATTGAGGCTGAAGTAGTAGATTCCTGGCACGTAGCAGAAGAACTTCCCTGAGAACATGTTGAAATGCTTGTAGAGGTTCACAAACTCGGTGTCGAAAATGACGTGCTGGAAGTAGTCTGAGCTATGCAAGGGCTTTCTGCGACCCACTGAGAAGGCAGCATAGAGCTGCTTGCATGAATGGCCTTGGGGGCCAGGCTGGCCTTTCTGGCCCTTTCGTCCATTGAAACCACGTAGCCCTCTCTCTCCTTCCTTCCCAGTTGCTCCAGGGTACCCTTTTTCTCCCATTTCCCCCTTCTCACCTGCAAACATAAAACAGAAGATGCCAGACACCATCAGCCTCTTTATTCTCAGAAGCATGCCAGGTGAAAGCTTGGTCTTCCTGAGTTCACAGTGCTGATGCACAAAATACTGAAGTAGTGAAACTCCATTACCTGACCAGATTACTTACACAGATCCAGCTGAATGCACAGCCCCTCCATGCACAGCTTAGGGCAACAAAGGTTTGGCGAAAGATTTGGCTTAAGTCTGATTTGGGCCTTGGAGAGGCTTTGTCTGGTCTGCATGTCTCTATGCATAGCACTCCCTGACATATCTCCTATATTATGTGTTTAATTATTAAGGTCTTACTTTGTAAGACAAAGCATATGAAATGGAAAAAGTGAGTGAGAATTTCTACTTGTTCTTCATTTCTTATTCTGAGGAACAACTTTTTGGATGACATTTGTATCTGTTTTTTAGTACGATGTAACTTGAGTTCTCACTGACTCCATTTTCTGATGGATTAGAGCTTGTTGCCACTTCTTATTTGTGCGCACACAGCCTGTGCTGTGACACCCCTTGGGTAAATAAATCAGATGAGTTTCGTGGTGTAGGAAAGAGCACAATCTGCCAGATGATGTGCAAGCAAGATGGAGGAAGGATGTTATGGCCTTGGTCACCTCTACCCACCTTTGAGGATGGTGATGTCTATGGTTGGCTGCACTTTGGGTACCGAGGAAGCAGGATCACTGCTCATCCTCGTGTATCGTGAGGAGACGATGGAGACGGGCTGCTCTGAGGGTCCGCAGCATCGCACACACGACAGGCGCCGTGGCTCCCGCCTCGGCAGGTCCTGCACTGCTGTGGAGCTGGAGATGGACACCAGGAGCAGGAGGAACAGGGCGCTCATCTTCATCTGAGACAGCTGGAGCGGGCAAAGAGCAAACGATTAACATGGTGATTCGGATCAGAGCAGCTGATGGGCCATCTGCTAATGTTGCCGCAAGGTGCTTTTCTGATTAATTATTAGCTTATCTTGTAGTGGCACTAGGAGACTCCAGGTAGGAAGGGTTCCCCACAGCATACTGTTTACAAGCAACGGAAAAGGCAATCCTCATTATGTATTACTTATGGTTGAAAAATCTTTCAAGAGACTACACATAAAAGCAGGAAAGAAAAAAGCATTTTGAGATTAGAAGTGAAGGCTGTGGTCCTTAAAGGTGTAGCAAGCACTGCTCACGGTGCTGTTGCTGTCTGGCTGAGGTTGGAAGTGCCCTTGCAAGAGGCTCTGGGTAAAAAGTGGCTCTCAGTAACTGTTTCATGTTTTGCTGTCCTGAAAAAATGAAAAATCAGATGCAGAGAATGAAACTTCATAGGAATGTCTGACCAATTTTTTTTTTATTTTTTTTATTTTTTTAAGGAAAGTGCTGGTGGAAAAATGAACTTAAAAAGTAAAAGCATTTCTCTTTTTAGATGGTTTCTTACCCTTTTGCTGGTGATCTTTCTGCCATGACCTTGCCAAGTGGTTTGTGGCTTTGACTGTGTCCATTTGCTTTTCTTAGCATAATTCCTCTGTACGTTTCCTATTTTTATTTTCCAGTGTGCAGAACAGAGAGCCAAATATCTGTAGCAGGCATGGACCAAACTGGGGCTGGTTTTCCACAAACAGTAGGGTGAGAACATCTACTGCGTTTTCAGCTGATATCGGCAAGCTCCAAAAACGTTTCTGGCGGTGACTGGTGAGTGAGTTTTTGCTCTGAGCTCCCCTCTACCCTCCATCTAAGGAGGGAATGGAGATGGTGGCAGGCAAGTGCCTCCTCATACCATGCGTAATTAGTGTCATTCTGCTCATTGTGGTGGTTTTTCATACTAGACAGGATTTGAAATTATGCCTTTTTGGACCTTATCCAAAGTCCAATTAGTGAGATGGACTTTTGCTGACCTCAGGCTGGGAACAGCTAGAAGAGCTCCTCTTCTACCAGCTCTAATTCCTGGAATAGGTGGGGATGGCAATGCCTAGAAATCCTTGCTTTCAGAAATGGAAAAATGAGCATTTTGCAGAGGGAGAGAAGGTATTTACCCATGAGTTACACAAAGGCTTCACTGGGTACGCCATGGATTAGTCGAGAAAGTATGGGAAAAGAAGAAAAATGATTAGTTTGGAGCAAGGTACTTGGATTGTATAGTCATTGTTGGGAGACGTTTTCTTCCAGTTCTTACCTGCCCCAAAAGAGCTGTCATTCACACCTTTTATTACTTGGTGTAATCCAGCTCCCTGGAAACTAGATGAATACTTATTAGCAGCGATATAATAACTTTGCTCCTGACAGCAGTGAAAGTTCTTTCATCAAACCTGTCATAACTTGAAATGATCTTTCTAGTTGTAATTGTACCTTATTCTAGGTACAAGTCTGAGGGATTAATGTTCCTCTGTATCAGTGTTCAGGGCCTGAATTCTCATTTTCATTAAGTCCTTTTTAATTTTCATTCAGTCCTTAAGCCGTCTTTGTGCTGCCAACCAGGACCAGAAATGCAATGTGCGCCTAAACGGACAGCATATCATAAATAAGCAGCCTGTACGTGACCAGAACAAAAAGCTTGAACTACAGAGAGTGTTTGGGGTCCAAGTAATGTTTCTGGGGTCTCCTTTGCAGTGATTAAAGCCTGTGCATACATATATGTATATATGTAATGGTCTCAGGAACACCACATATTCACTCAGAGACCCAGACAACTGGGGCCAACATATCCTCCATGGGACTAAAAGCTATTTAGTCCTTGGGACTGTAGATAGTCAATACCCTGGGGATAAATTCTAAGGCATTTGATTACATTAGCTGAACATTAAAATTGGAGGACATAATTGCTCATAATACCTTCATGAAGGAGAAAGAGCATTCATTACGAGGGGCATTCATAATGGGTGGCAGGCAAAGGCTTCATAAATATGAAGAAATTGCTTCTACATTTTTATAGGCCATTATTCTCTTTAAGATGAATGTTGTTCCTATTTTTAGACGTGGCTCAAGGAAGAGAAGTCGGGGTGAAAAATCAGTGTTCAGGTTATGCACCTTTTACACTACTATAATCCAAGCACCCATTGAGGAAATTGTGTCCGTTTGCATGATTCATGAAGAACAATTACTCAAGTTGTTGGCGAGAAATTGCGTTTGGAAAATGAAGCCAACCAGGCACAAATCCAGTCAATTCAGGGCATCCTGATCTGACACCAAGGCATCGCACACATTTTCCTTCATGGTTTTATATTCCCAAGCAGCTCAATCTTGGAAGTGGTCAGATGTGCATTTGGGCCAACCTAATTTTTTTGTGTGCATGTATGTGTCACTGTCCTCCCTACTGAATACAGAAACGTGTACTTGGTTGCAAAGTATTTGATTAGTTGAAGCTTTGGTGATGTGTGCAAATAAACAGTTTCAGTTTTACAGTTTGCTTGTAACAGTCAGGGAAGGAGAGGAGAAGTAAAACAGAAATGAAATGGAGAGATGGGAGTCTGAGAAGACTGAAAGAGGAATCCAGTGTTATGGGGTTCAGGTTGAAACGCATCCAACTTTAAACCAGAGGAATGAAGTGTGCAACAGGAAAGGAAATAAACTACTAAGGATTTCCATATAACAAGACCATGTCAATCTGAAGAAAAGAAATGATTTGGGCAAAATTTTGGAGGAGAAGCTTTTTGTCAAATGTGGTGATGGTGGATTTGACATTTATCCCTTTCAGGAGGCAGTGAGCAAGGAGCTCAGCACTGCTCTGCTCCAGGGAAAAATCTTCTGCTGGCTTTGGAAACTATGGGGTCTGTAAATGTTTCACCTGGACAGAAGAGGAGGTTCTCAGCCTTTCCTTTCCCAAAACCATTTCTCCACTTCAGCTTCTTTGGCTCTTCTTTGAGCTTGAGTTCATATTGTAACAGTTGATAGAAAAATGAGTGAAACATTTCCGTTGCAAATCTTGTGGCGACATTCAGAAAAATGTGAATTATTTGGATGTTTCCTGTGCTTCCTGCAGAATGCTTGGGGAGTAGGAAGCTCGTTGTGAGGCCAGCCATTCAGCTGGTTCAGGTGTAACACATAATGCTAAGATAAATGAGCTTACTCTCCCCAGAATGCTTCCAAACCTCCCCATGCCATAGCTACAGAACGCCACACAACCAGCAGCTCCAGGCCAGAACTGACCAAGATACGAAGGAAGAAGAAATTCTCTCTATATTAAATGGGTGTAGCAGTATTTAGCAATATTTTGGCAAATAATGAAGATTTAGGAATCATGAAATGAGACACTGAAATCTGACAAAAGCAGTTAATTTCATGGCATTTTCACGCTGACAGTGGCCGATGGTTGGTTGAGTTCATAGTAATGTTAGAATATATACTGCTGTTGGAGGGCTGTTTGAATGTACTAGAGGGTTTCTTTGGCTGGAACTATACTATAGATAAGGTTAATAAGACTGTCTTTTTTGTTTTTGTTTTTGTTTTTTTGTCCCTTCTCTGAATCTGAGAAGATGGATCAGTTTACAATACAAAATATAAACCAATGGGCATTTTATCTATGTCTCAAAACTACTGGTTTTCCTGCAACACCTGTAATTCCTGATGTCTTCCTGCTGAAAAAAGCAAATTTCTTCCAGAACTTTAGGAATGCCACAAACATTTGTGAGGGAAGGACAAAAAACATTTGTTTCTATTCTGGGAGTTAAATGAGGTGATGTTTCAACCTGTATGCAACTTATTTAAATATATTTGCTTGGCACTGAGAGCACCTTGATTGATTTCTTGGTTCATGATTGAGTTTAATCTTGCAGCTCAAAGTAGTAGCTTATGTATGAGATGCATTTGCTCATGCAAAGCTTTTTAATGACACTGTATTCCTGAAGAATTTTAACACTTCCATATAAAGCACCACATCTGGGCAACAGCAAGGACAAAAAAAAAAAAAAAAAAATCCCACAATAACTGCAAAAATAGCTTACTTGCTCTGTACATGGAGAAAAACAAAAAGAAACAAAGCAAATTCGTCTGGGGGCTGAACCAAAGAGAACTCCCCTGTATTAGCAATGTGGGGTCAGCAGAGTATAAACCATGGTGGGTTGCCTTCAGCTCTGCAAGCAGCCCCTATGGGATCTGCTGGGCTTCTCCTATCACAGGCTAGCAGTACAGATCTGCATTAACCCACTATAGGGCCCTGCTTTCACTGGCAGGAGTGTGGGTATGTTATGTCCTTACCTTGCAGGGGCACTTGGAGATTAAATCCCAGCCATCGCTGTGCTGAGCTCATGCACTGCAAGCAGGAAGAGTTCATGAGGCAGAAATCATTCTTGGATCTTGGAGTTGTGCTTTAAATTTTTGCTAACGTTTTACTTCCTGTTATTGCTATGGCTTCACTTGGAAAAGCAATCTATGACTGTCTTTGCTCTGAATTCACTGTACACAGGACAACACCAGCCACTGCCCATTTTAATTAGTGATAAATGTGAGCCAAAAAAACCCATGAGGGCGGTTAAGATTAAAACCCTGCTTGTGCTGCAGGGATGGAAAACACATGGATGTGTCAGCTTCGGACCTTGGCACAATTCCAGAGACAGAAATCATTCAGCTTCTGCTTTTTTACCTTTTGTCTCCTTGCACACCCTGAGCTCCTTGTTGCTCCAGCCTTCCTAGCATTGCTAAGAAGCAGGAAACAAAGCAGTGCTGAGGCCGCTCCTGTCTGGATGCTGGAGTTCCTCTTGAAAACTATTTGTTTGAGATTTTTTGGTTTTTTTTGCTTTTCCCCAGGAGGATCTAAAATTTTTTCATGAGTCCAAAACTATGGAGGAGAGTCAGTGCTGAGCATGGGGCAGTTCTGCTCCAACTCAGTGCTGCAGAGGTGCCCTTCAAACTGGACATCAGCAGCCCATGTGCAGCCATGGAGCGACTTCAAGTCTTGCAGATGAGAATATTTGGATCCTGAAGAGCAGCATGGTTTAAAAGTTTCCACTGGTTTGCAGATGACCTTGTTAACGCCCTCTTGTCTGCAGTGTTTGTACATTGCACTGGGGTGAAGAAGGGTTGGGAGCAATGCTGGGGACATCTCGAGCCTTGTGAGCTGGCTGGGAATGGAGGCACAGCCAGGATCTGGCCACTGAGAGGCCCAGGAATGTTATCGTATCCACAGTTTGCAATGGCTGCTGGGATGCTGGTCAGTTTCTAGATTTTCTGGGTAGTTCTATTTTTGGATGAATTTTGGTGTACGGATGAAGTCCCTGATACACCCACCCAGGGATTGGATCAATCCCAATGATGTGCAGCAGCATCCCTGCAGGACGACCATGATGCCACATGCACATCCCACCCATGCACATAGGAAGAGGTGAGGATCCCAAGCAAAGCCCTTCTCCTGTTGCTGCATGCACCCAGGCCCAGGGAATTGCATGGATTTAACATAGGTGCCCTGCAAAGCACCCTGTGGGAAGAAGGTGTGCCTGTGTGGAAATGGATGGGTACACATGGGCACCAGCATCTTCACACTACAGGCAGCTATTGCACATCACAACGAGGCAGCAAAAGGATTTTTTCTGGCTCCTAAACAAACACCCATCCCAATGCAAGCCTAGACAGTGATTCAACCCCATGCTGCCGCCACACCAGCCCACTTGCAGTGAAATCATTGGCAGGGCAGCTTCTCCCATGGAGCAAAGAAAACTGGTGAGGTGAATGGCACCAAGAATCCTTCACCTATCATAGCTGAAAGGCTCATTCTTGGGCATGGTTTTGCTCCATCCTGCCCCAGCTGCAGCCCCATCCTGAGCACAACCAGACCGTGTGCTGCTCAGTGATGCTGCAGCTGAGGGTGGGTGTGGAAGCAAGCAACATTAGCAGAAACAAACTGCAGCTGGTGTAGCAGTAACCTGACCTTGTGCTTCTTTCTCCTGCTGTGGTGAAGCAAAAGAGAGGAAGCAGTGTGGGCAGAGACCACCTTTTGCTATGACTCACCCCACGCAACCTGCTTCTGCAGGGTGGGAATGCTTTGTTCCCCATAGCAATAGTATTTTTCTCCCAACTTATTCAGACCCGTTTAACTTACCTTGTGACTCAAAACCCTGTCTCTTACTTTCCTTGCTGTTGCTTAGCAGAATGCATAATATGAAAGCTGCCGTTCATTCAGGTTCTTCAGTCCTACGCAGCTGCTGCAGCTTCCTAGCTGGAGTCCAAATGAAACACTGAAAGTTCGTCCTGCTCCTTATGAAATCCAGCAGCGAGGTTGTTTGCAAAAGCTATTTTTTTTTCTTGGTTCTTTGCTTGCATCAACTTGTGCAGAGTTTCTGTGCTTTTGTCCTACTATGGTTTCCCTACAATGCTCAGCCAGTCTGTCTGCTTGCACAGTGCCTCACACAATGATGGAAATGAAAACCAAAAAAGTTTGTGAATAAGGGGAAAAAAAAAAAAAAGAAAAAAAAGAAAAAAGCCACAGACCCAAAACCACATTGAATGTTCCAGCCAAAGGAGAAAGTGCTGGGATCACATGGAAATAATTTTTCTTTGGGAGATTTCAGCATCATTTTGGGCAGTAGAAAGGAGAATGAAAAATAGACAGTGAAAGCTCAGGTTTTTATACAGCTCTTTTCCAGAGAAGCAGGTTTAGGGACCATCTCAAGAAGGTGATGTGTGGCAGCAGCACCTTCCCAGTGCAAAATTATGCTGGTTTCCCTCCCTTTCTTAAAGGTCTGGGGGATAAAGCCTGATGCCAAACCACCCGTGCTGGAATGCAATGAGTGCCAGCATCCTAGGAATGAGAAAGGAAGGAAAGCTAGCACACATTTGTGGCTTTATTTAAAGCCAGAAAAAAATGTGAGTGCAAAAAATAATGCAAGTTCCACCATCATTCCCGCACTAAAGCTTCAGAAGAAAAGTAGCACCTTTGATCACTCTGTGAACATCAGGAGAGAAAAGGTGTATTTTGTTCTCTCTCAGTACCCTTCCCTGCTTCAGGTCACAGCTCAGTGCTTTAAATATCCCCCCTCCCACCCCCCCGCAGTCCTGGCCAGACTGCAACACTTGGACCCCTCTCACCGTGGAGGCTTTACCCTACACACTGACCAGCTTATGCTTCTTTTTGGCACATTGCCTTTCCCCAGTAGCTCAGAGCTGTGGTCAGAGGCAGGGAAACAGACATGCTGGAAAAGGAGTTTTGGATATCCTTGCAGAATTATTATTTTTTGTAAAGGCAATGATAACATTTAAAGATGTAGGGTGGATCTGGATTATGTAATGGAGAACAGAAATTGTTTGCAGATGACTTATGTCGGGAATGTTTTCATATCGGCGGTGGGAGATAAAACTAACAGGTGATTAAAACAGACTGCAACACAAGTTTTCTTTTAATTCACGAACCTGCATCCAGAGAGACAACGAGGAGGACCAAAGGTTGCTGGGGGGAGAGGGCTGATGCTGTACTGCGGGGAAGAGTTACACACTAGCGCCGTGCTCAGAGGCTTCATCAGAGAAATAACTGAGGTTTGCTGCTGTCCCAGTGTGAACCCAAGCAGTGTCCAGCTCTCCATGAGTCACCTCCAGTGCCGAGCTCCTCCAGCCCTCTTGGAGCACCTCCTGCTCTTGTCCTTCTCTGTCCCCATTCCCATCTCCATCCCATCCCTGTCCTCATCCACTTCCCCAGCTCCATCCCTGTCCTCAGCTCCATCCCTGTCCCTGTTGCCATCATCACCATCCCGCCCTGCAGGAGCAGGCTGTGCCCAGCACAGTCCAATGGGGAATGGTCACTCAGAGGGGAGCACGCGGCTGCAGCCTTTCAAAAGCAGCCAGGGAAAGAAAACTCTTACTCACTCGTTTTTAGGAGGGACCTTAAAGAACCTCTAAGAAAAGAAATAACTGTGCCTCATGTATGCCAACCAAAAGCTTGCTTTTCTATTTATTTATTTTTATTTTTTTTTCTTGTGGTGAATTGGTAACTGTAGTACACAGGTTGATTTTCCCTATTTTTCTCATAGTAACAGAGTCTGAAATTAACCCTGGAAGGAGCTTGGTTCTCCACTTGGCTGTGTTGGTTCTTCTTGATGCAACCCCTGCAGCCCCCCCACGTCTGGCAGCTGTTGCTGACTTCTCCCTTCTTGCTTGGTCCCACAAAATCATCTGGGCTCCAGAAACAAATATTCCACATTTACATACTGTGTCATTGTAGAGGCACCACATGGCTTATTTGCATGCGTACAAAAATAACTCCTAGATGTCACCCAGCAGAACGAGTGTTTGGGGCTCTGAAAACGACCTTAGCTGGGCAAAAACTGTACAGAAAACTGTACAAAACCAGCTTATATGAGATATTTTAATTTTCACTCTGAAACTCAGGACAGACATAAACTGTTATGGTAACGGCGTCTGGCATCAGAGCCAGTCTCTCCAGATTAAACAGGTTCTCTGCCTCGTAAAATGATAACCTCCTCTTTCTAAATAGTAATCGTATTCAAGGAAGGAGGATATTTCTGTTTACACACATGATTTATAAAGCTTGGCTTTTGTCCGTGCAGGGAGCAAGGAAACAGAACTAACCAGTTTTGCAGCAAATTACTAAGAAAGTCAGTGTGAAGGTCAAGGCTCATCGATTCATCTGCCTGCACCTTGCTAGAGAGCATGGCAAAAAGAGATTAAACCGTACTCAGATAGGAAATGCACATACCCATAGAGAATGTAAGGGTCACAAATGATTGGCTGGCAAAGCCATGCTTTTCTTTGCAGCATTGGCATGCCAAAATGGGTCTGGCCTATAGGAAATTAATTTTTCTTTCTAATTACTTTGTTTGTGGTTAGGGACGTGCACTGAGAACCTTTGTTCCAAGTACCACCTGAATGCTGGAGATGCCTGAGGAGCTGTGGTAGAAGTGCTGCAAGCGGAGGCACATTTTTTTCAATTTTTCTATATAATGGCTCAAGTTCTTGACTTGTCTCCAGCTCCCTAAATAAGAAGGCATGTTTCGTATGGATTTTTCCATAGCACTGAACTTGGTGAGAGGGACATCTGTTTGCTTTCTCTCCTCCCTCCCGAGGCTGGGGCTGTGTGCCATGACAACGTCTGCATCACGTGGCAGACACACACAGCTGATTCCTATGGAAACATTAAATATTAAACTCAGGTTCCTCCCAGCATTCTGCCTGGGGGGTGATGCTGGAACACAGCAGCCCTCTGGCACTCCTGAAATGTGTTCAGCACTGCATGGGGGGAGCAGCAGGCTGTGTGCAGGGCTGGGATTAATGCCTCCACTGTGCAAAACTCCAACAGCAAGTGGAAAAAGTGAAGAGCAGCTCTGTGTGCACTGCCATGTCA